GACCCTGGTGGGCATGTAGTCTGCTCAGCATCTTTCAGACGGTGCTTCGGACATTTGCAGACCTGGACTGATCTAAGTCTTAGGATAATATGATACTCTTTCTGGTTATAATGAGACTGTCCTCAGCTGTTAGAAAGAGTTAATTAGGCAATATTTGTGTTAACATATGGTCTATTCTTGTCCCGATATCTAACCAAGCTCAACTGCAATGTATGATTACAGTCTTGTTTTATAAACTGCAATTTTGAATGCAAATTTGCTTCTGAAACCAGGGTCACTGATCTGTCTGCTTTGTGTAAATAGAAGGATTCTTAACTTCTCCATATGTTTCCAAAAGACAATATCGGATCCAGTAAGGACTGAGGGTTGTAGTTCAAAGCTGAGTAACACAGACGGAGCCAACACTGTTTAACTGTACTATTACCTAGTAGCTCATATACACACTATAGGATGGAGATCAAATTAAGCTGAAAAGTCCTCACACATGTGAATACTATTTTTTAATGCTACACTGATAAGCAACGTGTCAGCTCTGGAGGACTTGCTTTGATGCAGGTAGGTGCAGCCCAGGGCCCAGCTGCAGCCGTGCGGCTGTGGGCTGAGTCGGTGCTTTGAGCTGCAGTGCTAGGAGGGAAGGCAGCTGCACAACACACTTCTGGCACCACCTCTCACCCAGGAGATCTACTTGATTAACGAGCTAATGCCATCTTATTACATTTTGGGGCATCATCGCCATGCAAGTATCCTCCAAAACCTTCTGTCCTGCTTTATAGGTTTATCATCTTCCCACTAGTCAGTACTTCTGAGATGAGGTTGTGCTGCATTCTGGCTGGAAAAATAAAACCCTGTGGCACATGAAGTGCTAAGCTTGTATTCCTTGAATACTTTTCATACTGTAATGAAAGAGAAGTCTTTTGAAACAGGCAGGAGACACATGCACACGCTGCAGGATCAGTCAGCAGCCCAGAAGTGGGCACTGCCGTGAAGCTGCAGCAGAGCCCCGGCCTCGTATCCCTCTGCTTTGCACCGAGCAGGATCCCAAACTCCAGGGGAGCATCCTTGAATATTCCCACAGCACATTGCCAAGGGTCCAAACTCCGACCGTAGCACAGGCTTCACCTCTGCCCTCTCATCTCCTCCAGAATGGAGAACAGTGCTGTCAAGAGGCTATAAAATATTGCTAGCCATGACACAGGCAGCCAATGTGAGCAAGGGATGTTGTCACCCCTCTCCAGTATTAGACTAGGCAAGTGATTTGACTGTAGATGTCTTAGTTATGAAACTGCTTTATTTTTAGTTTGACACTAGGTCTCAAATACAACAGTTTGAACCTAAATGAACGAATGAGGATTTTCTGTCTTTAACTCCTGTCTATAGCTGTCTTTAAGATCCATTAACTATCCTTTAAAGACATCTTTGATGCACAGAAGTATTTCTGTTTTCAGTGAGGGCTTCTTGTAACATGACACAGACCCTTTAAAATGCAGACGTGCACCCTGAGATGGATTTGGATGCACTACAATCATGAAGCAGCCTAATCCCTCCTGCAGAAGACAATGTTTAGACAAATTTATTTCATTCAATGAAACACCTGGCCAAGCCTATTTAATACAGTCTTTGCATTTAATTAGCTCCACTGAAGGGTCACTTGCCATATTTCAAACTATGATTATTTTCTTTTGTGTTAATTGTTTAAAGATCCTCAAAGGAAACTTGGAGAAAAGTTAAAAAATAAAACAAAATAAATCAGTTCTTAATTAACCTGAGGAACCAGAAGTCATCTTTTAGGGAACAGAAAAGGTGGCATATGGAGCTAAAAATAGACCGTAGTTTAAAAAACAGTCTTTCTACATGAAGAATAGCCATTAAAATCTGAAAAGAATTCTGTATGAAGAAATTGTTGCAAGGCATTAATGTCGGAAGGACACATGTACACATGGAACAGGCATATTGAGAAGAAAAAAAGAGAAAAAATAATGGATGCGAAAATAGGAGACCTTGTTCTCTGTAACTCAACAGGAACTGCAGAACAAGACTTGGACACTTTTACTGTAGATAGATAGAAAATCTGTGTAAAGTAAGTCACTATTTATTTATTTATTTATTTAATTGCAGAATCAATACTACATGAAAGGATAGGTGCAACATGCCCCTGGCGTTGCACAGGCTGAATGTAACTACATTGGTATCATATAAATGTTTTTCCTCTAGTTGCTTAGGTACTAGCGTGAGGAGAATTGTGCCCATCTGGGGTAATTTAAGCATTGCACTTTCAGAATTCTCTTGCTTAATCGTATAACATAACGAGATTATTAAGGGGTTACCTTCCTTCTTTAAAGTCTTGCAAAGATCACATTGCAAGTACATAAGTCTTCACAAAACGCCAGGCAGTACCCATCCCTTTCACTAGTAGTAACAGATTTGGCCTGTACTTTAATCCCTCTAAGAACTAGAGGGTAGAATCTATATTCTACCCTGTGCAGGTATAAAAAGGGATCAAAACTAATGTTCAGGCATAAAAAAGTATTTTTGCCTCTTATTCCTTCAAGCAATTAACCAAACTTCAATTTCCAGTTAAAGTGAATTCAGTTATCAGATCACGCTACTGCTTAACCTAGGCAGCAAAACAAGATTTCTTTCATGCCACTTGGCAAACCAATTCCAAGCCAACTCTTGCTTAGTTTTGCAAGTAGCATGAAGTTTATTTCATTGGAAAAGCTGTGTATTTACTATCCTTCTATCACCATTAGTCAATAAAACTCATCTGAAAAAAATTCCTGGGGCTCTGTCTTGGCACTGAAAGTGTGAGCTTCTTCCAGATGGTATTTCAAATTGTCATTTGAAATATAGCATGAAAGATGGGATATGATGAAGGGGAAATCTTTTACGATAATCTGGTTTTGTGTTCCTGTAGCTGAAGTCTGCTTCACAGCTGAACTGAACGGTATTGCTGTCTTATTTAATGTACAGTTTTAATCAAAATCAGGTCCCTGGAGAGGGCCAAGTGGCAGCACAAAACTCGCACTATTTGAGTTTTCCTGCTTGTGTAGGGGCAGTGAGAGCCTCCTCCTTAGTGTTCGGAGGGTTACAGAGCTCTTTCTTTAATACTTTGCTGCTCTTTCTCTAATCACCTTTTAAATACAGTGTCACAGTATCCCCACTGGGTTGGCCACGTGGCTTCAATTTGAGGTGAAAAGGAAGTTTGAGGGGAAAGCGGAGATTTTGAGAGATCACAAGGAAAGGCTGATCAGCTAAAAGTGGAAATCAGGGGTAAGAACCAAAAAACATCACTGGGAAAACAGGCAGACAGGTTTGAAAAGCAGGGCCAGAGCCCATTTCTACGCTGTGATGGGCTCGGGGGGTTCGCTCCTCCTCAACCACTGCCCAGCGACGCCCCATCATTAAAGTCCCTACACTGCGACTGTGCGTCTTTCTCAGCAAATAAATGAATAAACATATATTTTAGAGAGAGAGGGATGGATGGACATGGATGGATGGATGGATAGATGGATGGGTGGGTGGGTGGATGGATGGATGGATGCATGGATGGATGGATATGGATGGATATGGATGGATGGGTGGGTGGCTGGGTGGACGCAGAGCTTTTCGGCCCCCGGTTGGCGCGGGGCTCCGCGGGCAGGTGTGAGGGGCCGCGCTGGCGGCGCTGTCACCGCCCCTGTCCCCGTAGGCGCCCCCGGCCCGCGGGGCCGCCCGGGGCTCGC